CGAAATAAAGAAATGTAAGCCAAAAGAAAACGAGAAAAACAGAAATGAATTGGACAAATTTTTGTTGTGAAACCGACGCTTAAATACCTTAAAAAATATTTATATTATATACCACCATATACCATAACTAAAATATCTGGAATTTCAAAGTATACTTAATCAGGAGTTGATTCGCGAATTTTGTTTAGTTGGCATACCAAATTAAGAAAATTATGAGAATAGTCAAACTGTTTTTTGGTTGGTATTTTATAATCTAAGCCCAACTTAAAATATGCGACTTTTGGTAGAGATATGTTTACCTTCCTTCATCAAGAAGTATGCCAAAGTCTAGCTAAAAACTGCTTTTATATTACAATATATTTATACAAGGCACACGGTTCCGGGGCAAATCCTGCTACTTCTGCCTGCTTCCAAATCTCGCATCAAATTTTGTTCTCCCAAACCGGAAGCGAAAAAGAAAATGTAAAGCGCCTAAGCTTGGGCCCAACAACTAATAAAGGCTATCAACAACAGCTCAAACAGCACCAACAACAACCACAACAACAACAAAGTCCTAACAACGTGCAATGGACAATGGAAAACTGGCGCAAAACAAACAGCAAGAAGAAGAAGAAGAAGCAGCACGCGTTGCTGGCAGCGGAGTTGAGAATGATTCTTCATACGCACTCAAGTGTATATTTTCTCATTTTCTTGCATTTAACTTAAAATTTGCTTTGAAGTTTTGACATTTCATAAAGCAGATTTCGTTTCCCACCCAATGTAGATTTTTATTTATACACAACGAAAATGTTCTTCCTTTTTTTTTCTATCGAAAATCCAAGCAAACAAAAGTAAAAGCTACGTCGCAGCGTCGACGGCGCCTGCAGAAAATTTCAGTTTCAATCACCCCTGCGGAAGGTGTGGCCTCAACAACAAAACAGCAGAAAAAAACGACCCTCACAAGCCCTGGCCTGTGCGTGCTCCCAGCCCAAATCCCTCCCTGCCCAGTCCTGTGCCCACATGAGCCAGGCACGGCGTATACTTAATATGAAAGACGATGACGAGGCTGGCTTAAAGTAGCCAAGGCGACGTAGAAGAAGCTGCCACAGAAGTTCGACGTAGGCCTTTGAGGCAGCATTAGCTGCCTCACAAAATTGCTGGCTCGTTAGTTGCCAGGTAGCAGCGACGCCGGCAGCGCAGCGACAGAGACAACGACAGCGACTTCCTGTCTCACATGCTCTCTCACAATGTGCGTTTATTTCTTGCTCGCTCGCACACGCACAGGCCTCACGGTGGTTGAGGGGCAGGGTTGCTGCCCTGAGCCTCAGGATACGCTAATTTCCAGTCACACATTTCCAGTGGAAAGTGCGTGTACAACTGCCGCTGGCCGACAGGCGGCGCCACCGTCTACATAAACTCGTCTCTACTAATTGCCAGCTCGTTGCCACTTGTTTTGGCTTGTTTATCTCTAATTATATTTTAATTTGCACAATGTTTCTGTTTGTCAGTTTTTGTGCGTTTTTATTTTTTTTATTTTTCGCGCACTGCCCCAAAGTGTTTGCTCTGCACGCGCGGCATCCCGGCGCACATTTTAATTGCAATTATGGAAGGCCGACGCTTCGGCGATACTCAAGGCTTGTCCTTGCCACAAGGCGTTGTGCTTGGCACGTAGCAGCATCAATGGGCCACTAATTATACCGGCAGGACCTGGCTAGCCGCCACGGCAACAAATTTATGCCGAATCTTTCACTTGTTTGGGGGTAATTACTTTATGGACTCAAGGAAATTGAGCGAGTGCACAAATTTGGAATTTTAAACAGTGGCATCAGAGACAATTGGAAACAGTGGGCTTAAATATTTTAAAGTGGCATGTCTTGTCGTGAATAACTCGTTTGGTTGTGTTCAGACACCAGAGAACTGCAAGTCAGGCAACTTCTTGAGAAATGTTGCCAAAACTTCGCATCGAAAAAATCAACCGAATATTTTCATAGATAGGTTTTGCTGAGGCCAGTCACGTACGGGGCAGCTCATTTCCTGGCCACGGGTCGCAAAGGTGTCAAACGGATGTAGAGACGTGCCGCGTATGCACAATGTCCTGCCGGAGCTTGTGGGCTCCGTCCGGTAATCAACGAAACCCGAGAAAACCGCGCCCCAACTCAAGCTTAGGCAAACTTTAAACGTTTCCTAATTGTCAAACTGCCGCTGGCCGACATCCTTGCGCACAGGACACGAAGTGCCACACAATTAAACATCGCCAGCAAAACCGCCAAAAGACAAGAAAAGTAAAAAGTACAAAAAAAAAAGAAAAAAACCCCAAGCAATGCCGAAGGAAAGCTGCAGGCGAGCGCGCGCTATGTTAATTAATTTGCCAGGACATCCGTGACGAGAATGGGGGGGAGAAAGGAGGAGGGCGGCAGGACTGTAGCTGCGTGTTTATTTTATGCCGTCGCGCTTAAGTGGTAAGCCCCATTAACAACTGCCTGTCGTTTGGCAGCGAAATAATGGCGTTAGATCATCGTCTCCCTGGCCAGGACACTGGCTAAGGACGAACGCTCAGCAGTGTGCGTCATTTGAGCGCTGAAAGCTTTCAGCGTAAACTGTTGGAAATTAAGAAATGTTTCTCCACACTCCACGCTCGCACACAAACACACCCACCCAACTAACCAACTACACAACTGAGGTCTCAGCCGCAGTTCTGATGCCCCCTGGTTCAGGTTCCATCATCGTCATATTTCATGGCTTTTCCGGGTTCTGCTCTGTTGTTTTATGGGCGCCATTTGGACTTGTTGTTGTCCTTGCTGTTGTTGTTTTTGTTGAGTAGTTACCATTGTTAATGTCCTGGCAACCACAAATGGCGACCAATCTGCGCCCAACCACCAGCACAACGGACGACGGCCGGTCTTTGGTTTGTCTTTTGCGGTTTCCTTCTGTATTTCTCTCTTGGATGTTTTTCTTTAATTTTCTTCCTGGCCAAGTGGCTTGCTTGTGGGCGCGCTTACAATAATTAGATGTAACGGATATTGTAATTGGTGTTAAATTGCGCCAGAGGCCGTGTTATTGCTTGTCGTTTATAAGGCTGCGGGGGCGTGGTTACGACATTTTTTATAAAAACAGAACATGCTAAATTTTTTGTGGAATATTGAATACACGATTTTGGGCTCATTTTATTAAGACTATAATTTATTAACGTTAAAGCAGAATTAAAAATAGCCCCGCATTTCTTTTAAACAATTCGTTAAACTATGCTATGCTGTTTAGTTTTCGAACACACTCACAAGTTAAAGTTTCAAAGAACTTCGCGCAAAGACATGTAAGAACAAACTGAATAAACACATCCTGAACAAATTCAACTCGATCAGCGACAATCTTACCTGACTGCTGATTGTCTCTTGGCAAAGAAAACTCTCAGATTCGAATCTCAGCCTTCTCATGGCCGGCAATTAGCATGACAATGTCTGGGATAAGTTCAGGAAGCGAGGGCATAATGTTGAAAGGGGTTAAGCTAAAGCACAAACAAGTTCTGATGGGCAGACAAAAGAGGCTTGAGCCTTATGACAGGATATGATTGGGTTTGAATTTAAATATGAGAACCCGTCTGTGCTGGCAATAAAGGTACAAAAGCGCAACGCGTGTGAAACGATTAACGAACTAAAAATTCTTCAATTCAATTTACAGAATCTCGACTGTCTATATATTTGTCCCCAAGGAGTAAACTTGCCAGGCAGACCTCGTACATGAATCACACAGCAACATTTGCATAAGTTGCCAGCCCAATATGAGATAGGCGCCAACAAATTTGTACAACGAGTGCACGCTTGCCTTGGCTGCCCTTTCAGAACTTTGTTTCTAACTCTCTAATCGAATTAGCAACAGTTAACCGGAAGTGCAAAAATCTGCCACCGCGTTCACCTTTGTGCCTGTGTGTGTATCTCATTGTTTGTTGTGTTTATTTAGCACTGCAGTTTTTATTGTGGTGCGGTGCATTTTTTTTGATTTGATTGTTCGCACATCAGCGGGTAGCCTTAGCCGCCGGCCTCAGCTTCTAAAAGACCCACCCAAAATCGAGTTTGCTTGCAAATTTTTGCATTCGCATTTGCATTTGAATGTGGCTCGCGTGCGGGGCATGAATCATTTATCGCTGTTGCTGTTGATGATGATTCAAGTATCGATTTGCATTGATTTGCATTTCAATTGCACTTTTTCGACACTTTACAATGGATTATTTTGCAGTTGCATAAATTCGATCCCATCCAAACAGATGCGGTCCAATGTGATGTGATTTATTTATGGGCTGCATTTCATTTCAAGTGATTCGCTTGCGGTTCAACTGCTGCTGCTGCCTTTGTTGTTGTTTTTGCTGTTGCTGCTGCAAATAATGAGGCTTTGTTTCTAATTGTCCGTATCTAATGATAGCCCTTGAGTTTTGAAATTTGCATGTACATATGTACTCGTAGAATTAAATACATATGCATTATAATTTCTCCTTCAAACTGTCCAAAAGACAAGCTCCAGCTGCCTTGCCAAACTAGGAGTATCCACATATGGCATCTATTTCCTCCACGAACACAGTTTTCACATTTCGCGATGCTGTAATATTTCATTGAATTAAATCATGTCATGATACACACTGAATCACATTCAAAGTGCAGCAGCCGTTTACTGGGAGCTGCTAGGTTTCTTATTGGATTATATGACTTAACTTATTGTATAGATTTCCTCATGTAACCATGTAAAGCAATTAATCAATGAATCTTAAATACCATAAAAACGTTCAACTATTATAAGACCTATTTAAATATATATGTGCTATTCATATTAATTTTTTTTATCTACCGACCGCGGCTATCAACAGTATAATAAAAACGTGGAACGTGGAAACAATTGGCTACGTGCTAAAACTAGAGATGAGCAAAATTGTGATTTGAGTATCACTGTAGAAATTGCAGTCGTGACACATTCATAATACTTTTTTAAATCGATAGTAATATTTATAGTAATCATTCCAAAGCTGTTACTTTAGATAGTTAGTCGCAGTGTGAATCGATGTACTATATTTGACAGCCTGCTTATTTTCTACAGTAAATTTATACAGACGCTGAAATTTTGCTCAAGAGCTATAAAAAAGGTGTTTCAATTATGAAAAAACAAAGCGCTAAAAAGCGATCAGTTACCGAAGATGAAAATAAATCCCGAAAGAAAACAAAAACAGAGAAATATCCAATTGGTGATGGCGAAAGAGCAGACACAGAAAGTTCAGTAAGTAAGAGCTCTGTTGTATCTGCACGACGTGCACCAAGGCAAGGATATCACAGTCTGAAAATATAATAAAATGTAAAGAACAATATCGACAACAATTAACATATCCGTTTACAGTTATCGTCGAACACAACAAGCCCGAAAGATTCAACGTCATCCCAAGAATCTGAAATATGTAGCTTCAAGGACTATCAGCCAGATCTAAGTAACCTTTCAATGCCAACAACCGAACGCATTCTAGAGCCCTTATCGTCAGATGTGGGCATTGGGGATACTTTTGGACTCCCATTTATGTTCAACGACGATATGCAATTTGTGGAATCATTTGACCTGTCGAAAAACGTTGATAATCAGCAGCATAATTCATTCAAGCCTTCAGAAGCAGATGTTGAGCTAGAGACAATCGTACAACCCATTTGTTTCAGTGATATGGAAGTATTCCAAGGTTCGGTGGACGAACAGGTCAATAAATACAGTTCTAAAACTAATCAAGCTGATATTGCTCTCAAGATCAGAGAGGACAACGAAAATAAAGAACTAACAGCTCAGCGATTTTCTAGTTTTGAAGAAGAGTTATTGGCAACACTAACAAGAACAAAGTCGAGGAAAGACGAACTGTGTTCCTCTGATGATTTTCAAGAGGCTTTGGCAAAGCTCCCACGAAAAGCGCTGTTCAAGGATAGGAAACAATCACGCCTGCAAAAATCAAGCGATAAGGTGGCAAGCAGCAAATCTAATGCTGGAAGTTGCGATAATTCCGATTTCGAATTTAGCGATTCGGATATATCCTCGGGAATTGGACAGATAGAAGATTCCAATGACGAATCACATTCATCATATTCACCCATTTCCTTTGAAAATTCTGACGATAATTTGGAAAAGGAGGGCGAGTCTAGTGGGAGAGTGAAGAAATTAAGTCGCAAACACTTGTCCCCGAACTGTGATAAAAATCCAAACATTTTAAACATAGAGGCCGCTCTTTCAGGCCTTGTGAATTTGGATGACGTTGGGCCCACTACTGGTGAGAACCTTTTGTGACGAGGCATTGCCATAATATCATGTCATACGCGAATATTAACCAACTCCTTATAGATACTGCCCCGAAAGCTACGAATCAGAGTTCGAAATCAACGAAGATTCCGACACCATCAAAAGTTCAACTGATGCAACGATTATTGAACCAACAAACTTCATCTAGAAAGAATAACTCCACTCACAAGAGGTGATTCACATATGAATTTATAATTAGTACCTCAGATAACTCATTTTTAACCTCATATAATTCAGCCAACCGCTTTCGCAAGAACCGCTTTTGTTTATCGCAGAGGCAATGCAAGCAACAGACCCATTATTTCCCAATTTAAAACCTATGGAATTAACGGAAACAAGTGAGTCCCCAATCAAATCCAGTGCATCTCCAAAAAGTCAGTCAGCTGAAGAACAAAAAAAGAACATTGATTCACGCACGCAAAGTGGCGATAATAATAGCCCAGGAAATTCAGGAAGCAGAGAATCTTCTTCTGTTAGTTGCGCAGAGAAAAAACGACACCTCGAAGAGAAATTAACGAAATTGTCAAGCACTCCGAAGGAGAGAGAAGAGAAGTACAACATATCACCAGCCAGTAATATGTTTTCGCCACGTTCAGCTAAGGAAACGGACAGCGATGATTCGGTTTGGCGACGTAAGTCTCAAGCGTCAAAAAATGACGGTCACAGGGATTTTTACGAAGATGATAGCACATTTGAAGATGATAAGCTTAACTCTGACGATGATGAAGACCATACGAATTCGGATCTACCCTATTCAAATCTGCTTAACGACTACGAGCAACTCTTTCATGAGATTCGCAAGATTATCGATAGAGTACCCAATCGCTTTAAGTATGAAATATACAATCTTCTGTATCCAACGTTGGCAGTGGTCTATCTCCGAATGATTTCCAGCGGCAAGTACCGAAAGGGCAAGGCGTTTGTGGAAAGCTCTCTACGCTATATTGATCATTCATATATGGCTCGTGTGGATAAGCTAATGGTATTGCAAACCCCGGGGGATATGCCGAATAAAGCTAGAAAGTTGATCAGCGATGAAAACGCACAGGTTCCAGTCTCAATGTTTGAAGAGACCTATTATGTATTGCTACTCTGCATGGAGTCCTGGAGTCGTTCCCTACAGATGACGTTCATAAGACATTTCGACCTATATCCGGACTTTAACAACGGCGAACCTCGTCAGCACAGTCGCATTGGTTCTGCTATTTTGGATAAAATATTCTGGGCTACTCCCGAGACCGTCAAAGACAATAAAGAGAGCAGTCCGCGACCAATGCGGCGCAGGCGCTTTAAGAAGGACAAACCTTCTCCCACTAGAAATGTCCATTTGCCATCAGGCAATCGTCTCTATACTCCTACTCCAAAGCGTTGGGATCTGGAACGACACAAAGACGACGAGGAACGCCGGGTGCCGCTTGGCCGCAACAACCTGCCATCGACCTATCTATACACGGCACTTGAAAGTGTTGAGACTATAATCTGTGCCACATTCTCCAACAAAACCACAATGCTCTCTATTGGCACCTCCTCTTCCGCCATTCACGTTTTCGCGCTGACAGCCTCAAAGCTGGTGCAGATCAAGTCGGCCAAGTGCCTTAAGAGGCTTGACACAAGCATGTCCGGCATAGACGAGAGCATGTTGGACGCGACCAAAAGAAAAACGAGACGCACACTCTATGGTCACCAAGGAGCCGTGTACGGATGCACATTTGCTCCACACGATCGTTTCCTGCTCAGCTGCGCGCAGGATCGCACTGTGCGCTGTTGGTGTCTGCTCTCATGGAGCTGTGTTGTCGTCTATCCGGGACACTGTGGGGCCGTCTACAGCGTTAGCTATGCACCGTTGGGTTATTATTTCGCCACCGCCTCGGATGATCGCACGGCACGCATTTGGACGCAGGATAGCAAGAAGTCAGTCTGCATACTCGTCGGACATTTGGCGGAGGTTGTCTGCTGTCAATTCCATCCAAACAGGCATTACCTGGCCACTGGCTCAGCCGACTGCACTGTGCGCATGTGGGACATTGTAAAAGCCGTACAGGTACGCGTTTTCAGTGGTCACAGAAGTACTATTAATGATCTGGCCTACTCCATGTGTGGACGCTACTTGGCCTCCGGAGCTGACGATAACTTTGTTATTGTTTGGGACGCTGATAAAGAGGAATTGGTCCGCTGTCTGTCTCATCACACTGCACCCATTAACTGCATTGAGTTTGCGCTGGATAACAAACTATTAATGGTAGGTGGCAATGACTGCCAGATGACCATTTGGGATTTTGAGCGCTTAATTCAGGAATATGATCCTGAGAAACCAAAAACGGCCAACAGCCATAATGGCAGCGTCGCGGCAACAGAACCCAATAGAGCAGAGCTAAGCAGTGAAGATTTCTTGATCAAGGCATATGCCAGCAGGGGAACCCCATTCTATAAATTATGTATTACACGAAGAAACCTCCTGCTAGGTTTCTGTGTCAAACGAGCTGATTATGCATTAAAGGAGTCAAAGCAAAAATCTACTAACGATAATAAGTACACAGAATGGCTCGAGTTTTTGGACATTCTAAAGCTGAAGTCGATCTTTGCACAGACAAACAAAGGGGAATCAAATGAAATCGAACGGATGCGAGAGCCAGAACACTTAATAAATCTCGATGTCGAAACCTCTGATGATGACCTTGAAGATTCATTAAAGTATGGACATGAAGAATTCTTTGAGGATAATGAAGAAGATATGGAGTCACTTAGGTATTCTGAGTATGAATATTTTGAGGATGATGAAGATTCAGACACATTAAGTAGTCCCGATGTAGAATCCTTCGAGGATGATGACGAAGATTCAGAAACGATAGAACATAATATAGATTCCTTGGAATATAATTTCGAGGACACATTAAGCATTTCCAATACTGAATATGTTTCCGATGACAGAGAAGATTCCGATATTGAAAAGAATTCCGATGGTGAAACTTTTGAGAGTGATGAATGCTTGGAAGCATTAGAAAACCCCAGTAATGAGAATAATGAAGAAGATTCTTATGTTGAGCATGATAATAAAGAGCATGAGCTATCACGGAACTCCGACCCTGCATATTCTGAGGATGATGACCAAGAGTCAGAGAAACTAAAGAGTCCTAAGGTTAGAATAAGGAACGCCGATGTTGAATCTGTTAAGATTCATCAAGAGAACACAAAAACATTATGCGGTTCCGATATTGAATATTTGGATAAAAATGAAGATGAAAGAGAAAAATTAAACAAACCCGATATTAAACGCTTGGAGAATAATAATGAAGAATCCGAAATTATACCGAATAGCGATGTTAATGAAGGCTCAGAATCACTAAGGAATCGGGGTGTTGAATGTTTTAAAGATGATAAAAAAGTATCAGAAAAAGTAAAAACTTCCAATGAAGAATGCTCTAAAAATGATGAAGAGTACGATCTTGAATCTGTAGCAGACGATAAAGAATCAGAAACAGTAAATAGTCTGGCTGCTAGATCTTCGGAAGATGAAAAAGGTATAACAGAACCAATATTGAGTTCCGATGGCGATGATGAAGGAGAGGAGGATTATGAAGAAGATTCAAATGAATTGAAGAATCCCGATGTTGGATCCCAAAATAATGATGAAGAAGAAACGACACTTTTAAAGCATCGCAATGTTGACTATAAGGATAACGAAGAGGAATTAGGAACACTAAAGACTTCCGATGACTTTAATGATGAAGAAGACACAGAACCATTAACTAATCGGGGTAATGCGGACGACTCAAAAATATCAAAGAATATTGAAGAAGAGTTCGAAACGGTAGAGAATATCAATGTTGAATCATTTAATTCTGATAAAAATGCCGAATCCCTAAGGAATTCCGATGAAGAAGAAGACGAAGATGATGAGGAGGAAGAGGATGATGATGATGACGAAGTTGACGAAGATAACGAACCTGACCAAGATGATGAAGATGGTAAAGGTGATGAAGGTGAAGATGATGAAAAAGATCATGAAGATGAAGAAGAGGTAGATGAAGGCGAAGAAAACTTGGAAATTATAAATAATTCTGATGCTGAGAACTCACACGATGATGAAGAGTTTGAAAAGGTAGATAATTTCGATGTTGAATTCTTTGATGCAGATAAAGAGACGGTAGAGCTTCAGAATTCTGACGTTGAAACCATTGAGGAAGATGAAGATCAGTCAGAAAAATTATTGAGTCATGAGGGTAAGAACAAGGAGAATGACGAAGAAGAGTTAAAATCAGAAGAGAACACCGATGTTGAATCTTTTGATAATGATAGAGTCTTAACAGAAACTTCAATGGATTCCGATATTGAATCCTTTGAAGAAAACAAATATAAGAAAGAGGAAGAAATGGATTATGGCGAGAAGCTAACTATGAACGGTGAGAAAGGGATGATAAGAACAGAAGAAATTGATGATGTTGGAATAATAAGGAATCTTGATGATGACAACATGGATGATAATGAAGAGTCAAAAATTGATGTTGAATCTATTGATGATTATAAAGAAGTGACGGAACCGTTAAGGAATTCCGCTGATGAATTCTCTGAAGAAGCACAGAATTCCGATGTAAGTGAAGAAGAGGAGAATGATGAAGATAAGCTAATAACTGTTGAAAATGCCGATGTTAAATTATATTATGTTAATATTGAAGAGGCAGAATCCTCAAGGAATTCCTTGGAGGAAAATGAAAGGGTGATGAGAGATGATAAAGAGGAGCAAAAAATAAGGACCGGTGTCCCTTAAGGAAAATGAAAAGAAGACAGAAATAGTTAAGAATTCTGATGTTGAGTACTTGAAGAACGATGAAAATAAGTTAGAAATGGAAGTGATTCCCCATGTTAAATTCACGGAGGATGACATGAGACATCCCTTGTCCTCCCATGTTATATCCCTTGATGATATAGACGGGACAGATCCATTAAGCAATGTCGATGTTGATTTCCTTAAAGAAGTAATTAGTATTATATTAGATTATTAGTAAAGAAGACCAATGTTTTGTTCATGGAGAGTGATGAAAAAGTTTTAGGAGCAGTAGAGGATCCTGATGTTAAATTTATTGAGGAATTTTTTGGAATATTTGGCAAAGAAAGAACAGAAGTTAAGCTATTCGTCAAGGATGATGATGATGAATTAAATGTGGATGAGGAATCAAAAACATTGAAGAAAGTCCATGTCGAACCATTTAACGACAATAAATATACAGAACGACTAAATAAACCCAATGCTGAACCCGTCTACAATATTGATTATGAATGCTTAGATAAAGATGAAGACCAACAAACTACTAAGTATTCAGAAATAAGATGTCCCGAAGAGCTAAAAATATTACACAATCCCGTTGAATCTTACGAATGGCATGAAAATCACGTAGCACTAAATAATCTACATGTTCAATCTGTAAACGATGATATTGAATCAAAAACATTTAGAAATCCCGAAGTTAAATATATAGATGTTCAATCCATTGGGGATATGGAAGAGTCAAAAATGTTTGAAATGTTGTAGAAAAATCAGAAACAGAAAAGACGACATCTTTTAATTTCTTGAAAGCTGATAAAGGGCCAGCTAAATTGATTGATTTGGATCTTGAAACAATGGATAATAAAGAGTCAGAATCATTTAAAACCTTCATTTAGGGTTAGAAATGTTAACAAGGACCGATGTTAAAACTATGGAAGATCAAGTGTTTCGAATTTTTATATGCAAGCAAAATTAAAGAACTTTGATGTTAAGTCCTCGGATCATATAGGGTCAAAAATGTTAAAAAACTGCTGGGAATAGAATAAGGAAAATTCTGAAACATTTGTGAATCCCAAAGTTAAAGCTTTGGATGATGATGCAGAACTACATTCGAGTAATGGGGCCGAGCTGGTGAATAACGATCAAAATGAGTGGAATTGGTAAAAGTATAAACTATCTTAACCTTAGGAGAGAGGGGCGATATATATTAACACCAATAGCACAATTCCTTAATACATGAAGCTCTAATTTCGAACCGCATTTTAAACTGTTGAGATTTTGTAAAAAAGTAACCAAACCGAAATGAAATAAATAAATAATTCCTGTAGCAATAACACTGCTCGACTACCCCCAAAGGAGCAGAAGCAGTAACAATTTGACAGTTTCAAAAACTGGCCAGGCCACGTGCACCGCCCACCGTCCGCCCAGCCACAAAAGGCGTGCAAAATTTATAGACGCACGCATTAAAAGCCGCCAGGCACGCTCGACTAACTGCGTCGCACTCATCCGCGTCCACGTCCTTGTTCAGTTGCGCAACGCCCACGGCTTGTTTCTGGATAGTGCCCTGTTTGTAGGTAACCCCCTTCCCCATTCTACTCCGAAAACCGACGGGACAATATATTTACGCAGCTTCTTATGCTTTTGTGGTGGTTGGCGATGTTGTTATTGCTTTCGCTGGCCCCAAAAAAAAAAATATAAAGAAACTCAAGTACTGTCCTTGTCCTGGCTGCTGTTGTCATTGTTCTTGTTGTTGCTGTTGTTATTGCAGGCAGCATCTTGTGCCTCGTTTGTAGCAGTTATCTTTCGGTCCTGCTGAGCTGGCCGCGCGAAATGAAATTGTTTACTCCACTGTCATGTGCACGTGAGACGTGGACAACGCCGTGTCCTGGCTGCTCCTTACGGCACACTTGGTCTGCTGCTATCAAAAAACGAAAAATCTCTTCTCTTTCTACTTTAAAAAGAACAAAAACAAAAAAAATGAAAGAAAATTCAACGTAATAATTCTTTTCCGCTCGGATAAGGTGCGATTGGAATGAGTGCGGGAGGGCTGGAGGAGTTGCCTGGGCTTTAGCCCCGTAATTGTGCGCAATTTTTGTGGCGTTTGTGCTGCCCATTTGCCCGCAGTTGTAACATCTTCTGTTTCGAATATTTTTGTTTTTCAGCTTTATCTGTTTTCCTTCTGCGTTGTATGTACTTCTGGCTGGCGGGCGATTCCCTGTCACATACTCTCATTTTACCACTCCCTCTATGTGTAGCCAGTAGCCAATTGTATGCCGATGTGTCTCACCATTTTGGTCTACACACACATGAGATTTACACACACCACCCACCCACATGGGCAGTTGTTGGCCTGGCTCTAAGCCTCAGCCATTATTCATGGGGCTTATTAAGAGACAGCGCGTAAAACTGTCGCACCAAACAAAACAAACAGCACAGTCCATTTAACTGATTTCAGGGGTAAAAAAAAACAGAGCACAAAATAAATATTTACAAAGAAAATAATGTGCTGTCGCGGGGGCGTGCGTCCTGCTGATGATGAGCAAACAACTTGAAGCGCAGGCATTTTAATTTACAACTGTTACAGGCTGTACTTTTCCCTGGGCTCGTCCTCGACTCCTGTGGCGCATCAGACTGCACTCGACAGCCCGTCACCAGTCTCAAGTTGGGCACCCCAGCTTAGCCCTTTCCCAATTTCCCTTTCCAGTCGCATTGGAGTTCGTATTTAGGCTGCATCGCGCCCCGATCCTTGCACCCATTAAACTAAAACCGCATATTAGCAGGCCATAAATACAGGATGTGTTTTTGGACTCGGTACTTAAATATGATAAATGCGCGTATTGTATTACATTTGGATTTAGGGCAGCGCCAAAGACAATAAATTAGCCGGGACACACACCGATAATTGCACACATGCTGCGCCTGGTCGTACTCGTTGCATATGCCCCCCAAAAAACAAAGAAATTTAGAATCTGCTTTTATTTGCACCGAAACTAAAATGCTCTTTGATTTAAGTATAATATAATTAATTTACATGAATTACATTTCACTTACTTAATTTGAATGTGAGAAATACATTGTCTAATTTCTCTTGGTAATAGGCATGTACTAGGTTTCTAGAGTTTATATAAATAATAAATTGAATTGTTTCCAAAGTTAGTTATCGTTATTGACGATTTGTGGTTCCGTAAAGGGTATTCACTGCTGCAAAACTCAAGAAATATTGTACCCTTCGCGTCAGTGTATATAAAATGCAACCGGTAATTATGTATGGAAGCGAACAACATGCACTCCTCCCAGTACGCTGTCCAGTTGGCTGCCCAGCTTGGTGTCGTCAATGCAACGTTTGCCAAATTTACACAAATTCCAATTGCCTGGCGACTGCCAACTACCGGACTTGAGTTGGGCTCTGGTCAGCGCTGCTGCTTTATGAAGATTGCCCCGAAACGTGTTTTCGACTGGCCAATAAAGAGAGTGGTGGCCAAACTTCTTCCTCATCTTCGGCTGGGTCGATTATTATGGGCAGCGGTGCGCTGCAATTATGTCGTCCAATTAATATTAACACAGCGGGCGGCGGCTGATGAAGGTGTGGGGCACGGAAGGCGGGCTTGGTATTTTATGCATAAGCTATTTATGAAATTTATTGTCTCTGATGGCATTCAATGAACAACGGCAGTTGGTTAACTAAGACTGGGGCTGGGGCTGGGGCTGGGACCACCCGTTGGTCGTTTGTAGTTCGTAGTTTGTGATCGCTGAACTTATGCAAAATCATTCGATCGGTTTTGCGATTAGGCGTAAAAATGCTAAACAGATGTCGGGATCGGGCAGGCCGGGCATCAATCAAGCTGTCAATATGGCAATATATGGCCAGTGCAAGGTGTCTGCATAATTGCGGTGCCCAAAGTTAAAATTTATTATAATTTCCACACTTCAGACGCGAGTCGAACTTGAAAGCTGAAAACTATTCAGTATGCTGATCATTTTTTCATGTAACTCAGTGTCATTATTTTGATAGACGTTGCACAAGAGGCAGCTGCCAACGCTGCGACGTGACATGCCGCAGGCTGGCAGGAGCAAGAGCAAGAGCAGAAGCAGGACTTGGTACTGGACAAACGAGGAAACACATACTGCGCGCCCTTTAATTAACAATTAAGTTGCAATTTTATGAGCAGTGTAAAGTCGTCTCTTTTAATCCCGCTGCGAATGCGAACCACAACTCTTAATGGCTCCTTCTAGTCGCCTGCTTATTACGTTACGCGTTCAGCTCGTTTCTCACACGTGCATGAATATTAAAGGGCTGACAGAAAATCTTCCATTGTGGCTAGTTCAGGCTGTAGGAGCAGTTGCAGCTGCCACTTGGCCGCAGATCCGACCTCACTGATAATGGCCCCAGCTTATCTAGGGCTTGTGGCTTGTGGCTTTTGGCCACTGCCACTTATCGTATGAGTTGGCTTTAATTGAATTTGCGCCGAATACGCGTCAAGTCCAGAGTTGACTGTTCAGTATTTTGCATGTAGCATTTTATTTTATTAACATGTTAAGGGCCACGTTGTAATTTATATTCGAGCCAGTTCGGAAAAGTACACAAAAGAGCTTTAGGGCTGGCAGCGCGATGCGACACGCTGATGGATTACAAGCAAATTGCTCGCAACTCTACCATAAATTTTGATGCAATTTTAATGAAATTAATGGCCTGACACACTGGCAAACAATGCGAACGATAAATAGCTCGAACCAGTTTCAGATTATGGGGAGATATCCCCAACAAATGCGATGAAAGCACACAACATTTTGTGCAGATCATAAAGGTAACTGCAGGGTGATGAAAGTTGGTCGAAACTCTGATCGTTTAAAGGGGCGAAATACCCTTAAATTAGTTGCCCTGCAGTTTACTGAAAGTCTTCAACGTTAACATTCACTTGAGCAACGCCTTAAGAGGTGCCTATCATTATCCGAGCTTTCACATTATTAATAATATATATTGTGCGAGTAAATGTATGTATATATATCATTTGGCAAGTTCTGCATTAAAATTCTAAGCATGGCTCGCTATGATAATTAGGCTGCGGCATACAATTTGAAAATGCATTTTACATTAACTTAATTATTTTCCATCAAAAACATGCCAGCAGCGACATGAGAATGCGAATGCAATTGGCTGGCTTAAAGTGTAGTTGGCATTGTTTATGGCCCTGCCGCACGCACTACTTTGCTAGGTTCAGGCAGACCCTGCCCTCGCCCTTCGCCCCTCGCCCCTCTCCACAGATAGTCAGCTCTGATAACTGCCATCACCGAAGGTGGAGTTAGAGCTTGTGTCAGTTGCACATTTGACGGGGTGGCATGGACAGTGCCACAACAAAGTTGCATACTACATGCAAGTTCTGGTTCCGTGGAAAATGCAAAAGCAAACTGGGGTAACGCCTAATTACAGGACGGGCTTTATCGCTGGCAAATCGGCCATCAAATATGCAGCACAGCGCGTGCATAGATAAAAGCAACATAAATTCGCCAAGATATACGAGCGCCAATCATGAAAAGCAACGACAGGCACAAATCCCCCAGCAATTAACACATTATACTCTTCAATAAATTGAATGTGTGTATGACATTGGCTCAGAATTCAACATGTGGTGAATAGAGCAACGTCCTCTCACCTGCCTCAGCCGCACTCACACGCCCCTCTTGCTCGTGTCGCAACAACAAAATCGATACGCATGCGATGCGGCTGCTGAGACTGAGCCGAGCTGCTGCTCCAAGCCACGGCCTCTGATAGCATGACGACATGGCAGGGCGCACAGGAAGCTAGAACTGAAGCTGAGCATGGGGCAAGCGACAAGCGAAGCAACATGCGCTCGGCATTATAATGCCAGACGCGACACAGACCGACCCCACTCACACACACACACACACACACACACACACACACACACACACACACAAACTCACTTGCATATACACAT